CGTGTCTGCAAATTACTTCTTATCATTAAGGAATATGATTTTCTGATACAGAAAAGGAAACTGTGATTAACTGTAAAGACATCCTTTTTTGTTCCTTCATGTGGAAGAAAGGGCTACACACACAGCCTATTTACATGTTGACTTATTAAAGTGAGATGGAATTGTTTGAAAGAGGTCCAGGTTACCTTATCTGGGCACTGTCATGACACATAAAGAATTCCTGGACAAAGAGTAAATGACCCAGCTATTTCACTTCCAGAAAACCAGATGGTGATCAGTTCCAGCAAGAATGATCAGTGAACAGGCATGATGCAATGTCCAGCTACGTCTGGAGGCCTTCAAGATTCCCATTAAGTCTGTCAACAGACAAAGTGGGAAATTGCTTAATGATAAAATTTCATGTTTTCCTCCCATGGGGAGTGCTTAGAATTATAATTATGCTTTTGTAATATCAATGCAAGCATTTTCAAATTTTGTTTTCATATTGTGTTAGTACAGGAAAAATGTCTCTGCTGGACAAGTACCACTATTGGAAGGGGCAGAGACAGTAAGTGTGTGGTTTATATGTGTTTGTGAATGAAACACTTTGAATTGTTCACATAAGGACAGGTAGATTTTGCTAATCTGATGCATGTTCTCACTGCCTTACATGATTCATGTGAGTCTGTGCAGGGAATCCATGTGCTGGGTTTCTTTTCTGTGTGGTACATAAGTACCATACAAGTATTTCAAGCTTAGCTGTGATGGGTTCCAAGTTCTACCAAAAGAAAGAATGAATGAATGAAAGGAAGAAAATGAATAGTTGCCTTTCCAACTAATGTTTCCAGGTTTTGCATTAACTGTTAGACAGCAGTAGGGGACATTTTAGCAAGCTGCTAACAGTCACCCCCCCTTTTTTTTTTGCTGAGTCTGTCCTAAATGAGACATAAGCATTCTGTTGCATTGTCAGTTAAAGAGATGTAAACAGTGTCCCCAAATTTCAGCCACAGTTTCTGTTTTTTCTATTGCAGTAAAAAATTTTTGTCCCAGCCAATGAACTTTCAGGATGAAAAAATGCTCCATGCCATTTCATGATGTGGGGAAGCAGAAATGCCATGTTGATTCTCAGTAGATCGACTTAATAGGAGGGTATACTAGAATTGTTTAGGGGAGGGTGTTAAGAAACAAAAGAAATGTGTGAAGAGTCAGAGGAGGAACCACAAGGGTAATTGAATCCAACCCCCTGCCAAAGCCTATGAACCGCAACAATCTTGTTAGTAGACTAGAATTTCATGCCTTGGTGTTGTTCATAAAATACAATATATTCTGATATTTCTGTTGTTGTTAATCCTGGTGCATAAGGGTTAAATGTTACTAAAGATTCATATCTGAATGCTTCATGCATGCAAATGTGTTTGTGATTTGCATTAACTGGGCAGTAAAACTGATGATGACTTACTGAAATGCTGCATCAAACCACACTCAATAAAAGAGTGAATTGCAAATGTATGTGTAACAACCCAGTGCTGTCTTGGAAAGAATTAGAACAGACTGGGTGTCTGCATATCTACTAGCACATTCCAAGCCAGAATCTTTCCTTAAGGTCCTGGTGTGTGCAGTAGCCACGTTAAAGGGCTGTAATCCTTCGTCAGCGTGTTTGTTGGTTGCCCAACATCTGTGGATTGTTAAAATAAGTTATTACACAGACCTGCTTTAGTTTAGATTAGTTTGGACCATGGCCCAGTATTTTCAATCAGGATATAATTCCTGCATGCTGCTAGATTGCTTGCTCCACATACTTCCCTACAAAAATGTTTATCTGTAAGCAGCTTTCTCACTGAAAGTGGTATATCACCTCTAGATTTATTCCCCCCACCCTTGTGAGGAAGAGCTTTTGTCTTTACCTACCCCCACCCCAATCTCCACCCCTCTGGACTAAATATTCCACAAGGATAACCCAGCATGTGTTAAGTAAATGCTGAAGAAAATCCAAAAAAGAGATGGTAGTGTTTTCTCTATGTGAGTATAATGATGTAGATTTCCTTCCTGTATAATCTGCAGTTGTGTGTGTCTGTCTCTATGTGTGAATTTTGCAATTTATAGCTCTAAAAGTCTGTTGTAGGTTCAGCATTTTCAGATAAAGGCTTTTTTTAAAAAAACATGTGGGTTTTAAAAAAAAATATATATACACTCACATATACTCATTATTTTGATTTATTAGATACTTAGTGATACCTATTAAACATTATTGGAGCAAGATGTTATGTAAATCTATAATAAGTAATTAATATCAGAAATGTTTCAATTTTAAATATGTGTTTTTCACATTATGTTGCATTAGGAAGAACAGTATGCAGAATTACCTCTATATTGGAAATTATGAGTGCTTTGCATAAAGTTTGCTTCTTATTTCACAGTGATAGCTTATGAACAGATAATGATGCCATGTTGGATTTTGGCATATGAGACATTTTGAGTTTTATTCAGTACAGTTTATAGGCCCTAGAAGGAGATGAACATTTGTTTTAATTTTCTGGTTTTGATTAGAAGTATATCAGGGCACACGGCTTCCTAACAGTAAACTTGCAATTTTGGCATCTTGATCTAGAAATCACAGAAGTACTGTAATGAAGAAGTCCCATCTCTGTTCCGAGCCTCAGTGATAAACCTCCTGGTTGTTTTAACAGGACTGGATGGCACACTCATTTTATATCTGTGAGGCATCATATTTTTAGGTGCAATAGAAATATTCGCTCTTGGTTGAAGCAAACTATTTTGACACATACTGTACACCTTCACACATTGGAAGTTTCTATTGATGGTTTTAATTTGCTTTTATATGCTCATCTTCAAATGATTTTCAATATAGTGTGCAGCTATATTTTCATTGGTTCTTTTTTTCAAAACTTCAGAAATTAGACTACCACAGACAAAAGAATTAGTTAGACTGCCACAGATGAAGGAAAGAAAAATAAGCTGTATTTTTTCATGTTAACTCCTTAACGGTGTCATATGCCTATTCCTTGTGCAGTATCTGAAGGCACCTTTTTCTTCATTCCCTAACAAAAAGGGGCTTTTTCTGTGAACCTTTGTTGCTCCTTATGATAACTGTTGCAAGAGTACTCATTCCCATAATTAATGAAATACATTTTCCCTAGTTTATACATTTTGTAATATTTGGCAGCGCACAACAACTGTTTTGAGTGTTGCTAGTACAGTAGACTTTTATCTGTGGATATGATTAGCACTTAGATTTTTCACATTTTCTTTTAAAATTTCATTTCCTTTGTTTTTGACCTGACTTATATGCCTATATTATACAACTTTATACGTTTTTATTATATGCTTATAGTGTACTGTATTTTATTGTTGTATTTTGCATTTCGCAGTCCAATGTTTATTTGCAAAAAATTTTTTGACACATTTAACTGTAATGATGCTTATAATGATTTTTTTAATTTTTATTTTGTCATAGAATTCTCATTATTTATCTGTTCATTTTTTTCTTTAGTTCTATGATGCTAACACGTTAATTCTAGTCCTAGTCACGTTTACTGGGGGGGGGGGATGCCCTTTATTTTTAATTTGATAAATTTCCAAATTGGAATTCATATGATTGCTGTTTAAATGATTTTTTAAAATCTCTTATCAGTTATAGTGTGTGGCTCACTTGCTTCCCCCATCATCTTTAGGGCCAGCATCTCCCCTTAATGTATATTGCTTATATCCATTGTTGCTCAAAGTTATATTTTTAAAAATCCAAGCGGTAGTGGCCAAGGAATAGAATGTTTGCTTGCTTTTAGTCCTTCCTGAAAGCATATGATTATTCCTGTGATGTGAATATTTGATCTTCTTAAACATTTCTATAACAGGACAGGGTTTTTTGCTGCTGTTATTTTCCTATCCCTGTTATGACCTTACAATTTGTTTAGATGTATGTTTAGACTGTGTCAGTAGAATTCTTAGGCCTAAAACATATCACAGTGGGAAAGGTAATAGAACTGTACCTAGCATAAAATTTATTTTGGTGATATGTGGCTTTTCATGTTCAACTGGAAAACATTCACCTATATTTGCTTAGCTATTTAATAGCGGATGGAATAGAAATGGGAGGAAAAACCAAAGTCTATTGCAATCCATTGTGCAACTTCACATCATACTCATGAAAAGTACTTTATTACTTTCACCCTAAAAGCTACAGCCGGTTGGTTAGTTACACTGGCATAAATGTGAAGGCATAAAATGCAATGAGAAACTAATTTTAGTTAATAAGTCACTTATTGTAGCCCTTGTCATGTGACAATACTTATATATTTAGCAAAAACTTTTTAAAAGCAATAATCCTCTCTAAATTTTGTTATTCTTCTTTGGCATGGGAAGGTAGACAGTTGTAAAGCCAAGGCTAATGCAAAATTTTGGAAAGTATTTTTTTTTAAAAAAAAAACATTTTATACTTAAGCCACTCTTCCTCTAAGGAATTCAGGCTCACATACTCTGCTCTGTACCATAGCATATGCTTTATCCCCGTGCTGTCTATTCCAGTTGACAGCAGATCTCTAGGATCTGTGGCAGTAATCTTTTCCACCATCTTTTTTTTTAAACCTAAGATAAGAGACTGGATCGGGAACCTTTTGTAGATAAAACATGTGCTCTTGCACCAATTACCCACAACCCTTACTTCTACCCATCCCAGTAGGCTTATAGGGAGGTCAGGCTGAGAGGCCCAGGATCTTCTTTTAGGCAAGAGAGGTTTGAATGTACACCCTTCCTGATATGGTCGAACCTCTAGACCACACTGACTCTCAGAACTGAAGAGCAGACACAGATGGCTGGTGCAACCAAGATGAAACACCTGCTTGTAGTTTGTTTGGCTGTAGTGAGCAAGAGTAGCACACTCCACGAGCATGCCCTATGCATGAGCACCGGCACACGCGTCACAAAAGGAAGCCTGTTCTTTTTCAAATTTTGTAAATACCAAGCATGTTAGAAACTTAGGCTGTTTTTTTTTCTCCCCCAACTAGGTTATGTGGGTATGCAACTTATGTCGAAAGCAACAAGAAATCCTCACAAAATCTGGAGCGTGGTTCTTTGGAAGTGGTCCACAACCGCTGCCTAGTCAAGATGGAACACTGAGTGACACTGCTAGTGGCGGCGGTTCAGAGTCACCGAGAGAAAAGAAAGCAAGGCTTCAAGAACGATCACGGTCTCAAACCCCCCTAAGCACAACAGCCATCTCTTCGCAGGAAATCTCCTCTAGTGTTCAAACTGACAGAAGAAAAGGCACAGAGGTATCACAGCAAGCCATGGGCCTGGAACAGAAGCAACCTTCATCAAGGTCTAGAAGTGAACCTCCACGAGAGAGGTAATACTGAAGCCAGTGGGTCTTATCCATAGAGCAATGGATCTGAAGCTGTGTTAAAAAAACAAAAACAATGGAAGCTATTGTTGTAAATAAAAAAAAACCCAAGAGTGTTTTGTTCCAAAGTGCAGTGGCGAATGCATAGACACACATTACCAGTGGCTGCAGAACTTTTTCAGGGGTCAACAGGGAGGCCTTTCACGTACAGTTGGTTGTCTGTTCATATGGTACCAATAGCTGTAATGCTGAAGGGAATACAGTTTGTTCAATAGAGTGATTTGCTACCAAGGTGTGCAGCAGGAAAACAGAAGAGAAGTAATGTATCACAAATAACAATGAGTAATTCATCTTTGTTACTTTTATATATATTAATTTGGAGGGAGGTCATTCTGGAGGATTTGTGGGATTTTTACAAAGAATAAAAAACCTGAAAGGTAGCTAAAAGTTATGATTATTTTTTTCAATAATGAGCAATTTTACTAGGCTACTTTGACTGTCAGACTATCAAGACTAATTTTAAAAACTATGGCCCAAATCCTGTTGGGAGAAACCTGTGTGGGAGAGGGTAATCAAGCAAACCTCCGACCTTCTTTAGCAAGACATCTATTGCACAGTTGATTTTGCAACTAGTGTATGACTGATCACAAAACTGTCATTCTGTGAAGTTGAGGGGGGGGTGATACTGATCCAATTACCTTTCTGCATGCAGTTTTTGTCAACAGGATTCTGGCCTACATGTATATGCATAAACTTCTTTAAAAAAGACATACACTTATGTATTTCTCCAACTATTCAGGCTTTGTGAATTTAATTGTCCTAATCTAAAAATACTGTAATAATAGTCATCCGTAATGGTGAAGCACAAATAGAGTGCCATCATTTTGGAAGTCATCCCCTTGCTTTATTTTAAACATGATTGTATCCTTCTTTTAAGAAGGCAATCACTGTCTGTGGTTTTTGTAAGTAATTGTATTTAAAAACATTTTAAAAATTAAAATCTGCTGGCCCTTTACAGGTTTGTTAAAATGTTTTAAAATGGATTGTCAAACCAGTTACCTAGCTGTATATGGCAGCCCTAGTTTTTCTAATTAAAGGCTGGGATCCTGAAAAAGAACATGTATGCTGAAGACAGACAAGTGGGTCGTAGGTCAAAATAAGCCTGAACTGTCTCTGGAGGCAAAAAGGTTGAAACGGAGGTTGTGTTTTGGGCACATAATGAAAAGACAGGGTTCTCCAGAAAATACAGTCATGCTGGGAAAGGTGGAAAGCAACAGAAAAAGGCCAAGTATGAGATGGGCTGACTAAAGGAAGCCAAAGGGTTCAGTTTACAAGAGCTGAGCAAAGCAGTTGAAGACAGGACTTGTTGGAGATTGCTGATTTTTAAGCCAAAGCCTGGTCGCGACTTGATACACATAACAACAACAAATGCTAAAGAAAGTTGTCTGTGTGTGTGTGTGTATTTATGGTGTTTGTTTATTTATTTATTTAGCTTCTTTTTAAAATGAACATTGACTAATAAAAAATGAAGTTAAAGGGAAAAGTAGAAGGATGTTCAGTAGTTTGAAAGAAGGGTGGGTGTGAGGATTCTTTGTGTTAGTGATGAGGTGTCTGGTGGCGTTACCCTGTTTTGCTAAAACAAAAGCAGGGCTGCCAGTGGAACCTCATGATCTGAACTGGGGGTGGTGGACCCCATTTCACCATTTGGTGATGAAAGAACATCCTCGCCAGTGTTGTCTTTAAAGATAACTCCTTTCCCACTTGATTTCTTAATATTTGCCTGCCCCTGAAAATGAATTTACCCTTCAGGAAACATCACTGGGCCAAATATTTTAGCCCAGGTATTAGTTATGGCATTTGTAGGCCACCTTTCTCCCAACGAGGGGACCAGAGGTGGCTCATAACTTTAAAACAAGTAAAAAATGTAAAAAAAACCACAATAAATTGAACATTAAAAAACAAATATCTGGACACAGGGCACTCACAACTTTGATTCATGCACTCGTAATCTCAAGAGTAGACTACTGCAGTGCTCTCTACGTGGGGCTACCCTTGAGGTTGGTGCAGAGACTACAACGGGTTCAGAATTCAGTGGCCAGATTAATAACTGGGGTGAAGAAATTCCAGCACATCTCCCCCATTCTGGCCACCATTCATTGGCTACTGGTTTGTTTCTGCACCGATTTCAAGGTTATGATGATAAAATTCAAAGCCCGAAACTGTTTAGGACCTTGCTATCTAGCGGAATGCCTGCTCACAGCCAGATCTGTCCGTAATACCCATTCTTCACAGGCAGGGTGGTTGACCCCAACGGAGACCTGGAGGTAAAGAACAAGAAGCTGGGCCTTCTCGGCGGTTGCCCCCCGCCTGTGGAACAATCTGCTCATGGAGATAAGCCTGGCACCCTTGTTGGACGGGTTTAATCGAGCATTGAAAACTTGGCACTTCTGTCAGGCTTTCCCTGAGCATTAAATTGCTGATACAGTATCTTCTTCCCTTTTATCATCCTTTTTGCCATCTTTTCACCATCCTTTCTACCATCTGTTTTAACTTATCCTACTAGTTATTGTATCTGTTGAATGTTTGTATTATTTTATTCTTGTTATGTTTTAATACTGGATTGCTTGTATTCTTGTTGTTAGCCGCCTAGAGTTGCCTGGCTGCCAGATTGTGTGGGGTATAAATCTAATAACTAATGATAATAATAAACTATAATAGTAACAAACATTCCAGAAGTGATTTAAAACATTTAAATCTTTAAAAGCAAACTTAGCTTTAAAAACAGCATCCCGGGATTCAGTTACGGCTATTATAAAAGATTCTGCTCTTGATGGAAGGATGAAAAGGAGGGGACTAACCTAAGCTCCTGAAGGGAACTACATATCTGGCACGGAAACTACATATCTGTCAACAGGAGACAAACATTTGGCTGAATACACCGTTTTGTCTTCCGTGTTCATGTTACATCTTGGGAACCTAACTAGTGCAAGGACATTAGCTGGGTAATGTGGAATTTCGCATTCCATTATATTTTGGAATACCTCCATGGGATTAATGTAATGCTGAGAATTCTTAGATCATCTGGATTCCTAATAATTAAAGGAAGATGCATGAAGTTTATAATATGAGAATGATTGCATATTTTTCAAAGTCCCTTGAATGTATATGGAAGAGGAAGCAAGTTTCCTTTTTTGAATGTGGGTAGCACAGTCAAAAACTACATGTGCTCAAATATTAAACTCATAGCAACCAATCATAAGGGAACACTTTAATAATCTGACTTTTAATAGGTTTTTTTTTTGTTACCTGAAACTCCTGAGGTTGTGGGGGCAGTGGCGGGGCAGAATCCTTTGTTTTAGTTATCTTTCGTCTTTAGAAGATTATGGTGATGATAAAAGAGCAAATTAAATTCAAAAGCTTTGTTTCACATTTTCTGTAGTTCATAGAGAAGGAATGTAACTCAGTGGTTGATCTCATGCTTTGCATTTCAGTCATGCCCAGAGGCGTTCTGAGCCCTGAGGCAAAGGTGATGCTTGGGGGCTTCTCACTGCTTTTGAGAATACTGTACCTCATCTGTGCATAAGATCCTTATCCGCAGTGCCATAGAGCCAGGATAGACACCAATGACACACATAGTTTAGGCTTACAGTGGGGTCTCTACTTAAGAACGTCCCTAGTTAAGGCGTTCTGAGCCCTGAGGCAAAGGTGATGCTTGGGGGCTTCTCACTGCTTTTGAGAATACTGTACCTCATCTGTGCATAAGATCCTTATGAGCAGTGCCATAGAGCCAGGATAGACACCAATGACACACACAGTTTCAGTGAGGGTTTGGGGTCCATTTGAGCTCTTGTCCTGGAGACAACCCTGTTGCATGCAGAAGGCTCACTGGTGTCTTCAGGTAAGACTAGGAAGGGTTGCTTTATGAAACTGCTGCCAGTCACAAATGATTTGATCCTCTTGGTGATTATAAGTCCTGCAGTTTCATCTCATTGGCTTGGGATTCTGGGACCTGAAGGCCAAAGCCTCTGGAGGTCCCCTGGCCCACATATAGGCGGTTCTGATGCATAGGGACCCATGTTCTGATTCAGCATACAGCTGCTTCCCTTCTACTGTGCTTTTTTTGTATCTGTAGTCTTGCCATTTGCAGAAAACCCACGTGATCACATATTGACTGCACCCATTTCTGTGTCTCGTCCCCTTATTTCTTTTTGTCCTTCCCCCACTTCACATCAGGAAGAAGACATCTGCAGTTTCTGAACAGAATGGGAAAGGAGGTCTAAAAGGTGAGCGCAAACGTGTGCCAAAATCCGCACTTCCGCAGGGTGAAGGCCAAACAGATGAAAGTGAGTATAAAGAAAGACGTGATGGTAGAAGATTAGAGAAAGGGAGGTCTCAGGACTATTCAGACTTTCCGCCCAATTTTGAGGAAGGCAAGGCAATAGAGGAAGAAAAACAAAGGAAAGAAGATGATTATCACACTCGGTACAGGAGTGATCCCAATCTAGCACGATATCCTGTGAAGCCACATCCTGAGGAGCAACAGATGCGCATGCATGCCAAAGTTTCCAAAGTGCGGCATGAAAGAAGACACAGTGATGTTGCCTTGCCCCATACAGAAGTCGATGAGCCTGAGGTGCCTGAGAATAAACTAGGAAAGCACTCGCAATTGCAAGCCACTCAGGACATACAATCTCACCCAGATACTCAGAGGGCATACGCAGTAGAAAGAACAGGGGATGTAAGAATTTCCGTTTCTAAACAATTAGCTAACCACACATCGCCAACTCCCAGGCAGAGCGTGGTTTCTACAGAGCACTTAGAACCCCAAAACCATGATTCCTTTAAAACACAGAGTCGCCTCGATCCTAGCTCTGCTATTCTCAGTCGAAAAGCAAAGCGGGAGAAAATGGAGACCATGCTAAGGAATGATTCCCTGAGTTCTGACCAGTCAGAATCAGTGCGTCCATCTCCTCCAAAGCCTCATAGACCAAAACGGGGCGGAAAGAAAAGACAAATGTCAGTCAGCAGCTCTGAGGAAGAAGGAGCGTCAACACCTGAATATACCAGTTGTGATGATGTGGAAATAGAAAGTGAAAGTGTCAGTGAAAAAGGTAAGTTTTTTTTTTCCTAAAAGAAGGTTTTAAATCTGTGAATATATTGTACTTCTGGTGCTAAGATGGTACTGGGCATTGAGATGGGGATGGAGTGGACACCTTTGCATCTATTTTACCAATGTTGGGTAAAATATTACCACAGCCTTATTGGTTACTCTGTCATTGCATCATGCAAGGATCTGAAGCACTGGGTAAGCCATTTGCCAACCTGATGAGAAATGCCCATCCTGATCTGCTTCTTGGGAATAACATGGAACGGATCAGAGCAGTGACTGCATAGAGTATACACACTCTCTCCCCAGACTGGATCTGTCCCAATGCCCAAATCTCCAGTTATATGGTGACAAAATAAAACTCCCTCCCATCAATCCCCAAATGTCATACAATACGGCTGAATAAGGAGGGCAGGATGGGAACATTGCTGAAGAACTGGACTTTAGCATGCCTGGTTGGGCAATTATAATTCTGTTGGAACCATAACAACCAGGAATGATGGAAATCAGTATCACCCATGTTCTAGAATAAAATATAGATGTCTCAAATAACTTTCCCAATCTATTATTTCATATTCTAAGTCAGCTGTGGATGAGAACTAGCTTACAGATGTCACAATTAGTTTTGCCCTATCAGAGCACAGACATGCTATTTTTTTGGACTATAACTTCCAGAATATGCCAGCTAACATGGCCTTTGACAGGGGGATTCTGGGAACTGTAGTCCACAGATGTGAATTTTTCCAGGTCTGAGAACAGTAATTGGGGTGCTGGGTAAAGATATAGGAAGACTGGGGTCAAATCCCCATTCCATTGAGCTGTTCACTGAGCAGCCTTGAACCAATTATTGTCTCTGTCCTATTTCATGAGATGGCATATATTTTTCTGTCTAGCAATAAGCTTCTTAGAGAAATTGTAGAACGCCAACACAACAAATAACAGCATGATCTTGCAGAAGGTAAACATATTTAGAGCTAAATGAAAGTTCAGCCGAACTCAGGTCGATTTGCTTCTGTGCAGAATTGCACAATATTCTGATATCAATTTTAGTGAACTGGGGAAATTAACCATGTGGTTTACTTTGGTTCAAAGGATTTATATGCATGACTGCTTAAGGCACAACCCATGCAAAGGCAAGATTTGTAAGTCTTAAGAAGGCAGGTCTGAAAATAATAAAATGCGTTTGCCTAAGAAATAAATGATTAGAAAACTTGTAAAAACAGCCACCACGACAATTGTTTTGTGCTTGGATGAGAAGTGGTTAACTGATGAAAAAAATGAGTCAGGTTCTTGAATTTTCCCTTGGTATCTCTTTGTGAACAGTAGTAACCTCAAGGGGGATCCTGTAGAATCCATCTTGATTGCTCACATGGTTGTAATCTTAGTGCTCGCTATCTTTTTTCCTGCCATCAAGACAAATACAGTATTGCAAGGCAATGTTGGAACATTTTGGGTATCTTGAATTGTAGATACTGAAGCAGTATCTCACATATATTAATCAGACATTTTTGAAGGAGTTAATATTATAGACAGAAGCTCTGAAGTTACATCTGTAGGCCCCTTTATTAGTGACCTTGGATACAGTTCATCAGCCCCTGGAATCTTGAAATCCTTTGAAGTGGCTATGTCTTCTGCACCACCTCTTTATCTGTCTTGGGCTGCAGCTCCCTTACTGCTTTACTGTTTACATGACAGACAAAACCAGGCAGCTTCTTGTCACTCCAACAGGTGAAGCAAATGTTAAACACCATATCTCTAGCCATAAATGTAAGTACTTGATATAAGATGACTCATCATAGTAATTATTTAGTTTTGTCCAATAATTATTTGATTGTTACCTTTAAATGAAAGCCCAAGTACCATAGGTACTTGGTTTTCTGTAGGTGGGAATGGAGCAGCTGACTGCTTCCATCCATGTAATTGGTTAGCTTTTTTAAAAAAATGAAGTTTGCGAGCTAAGAAAGATAATTATTCAGAACTCAGACAGTTGCAAAATAGTCTGGATTACTAGAGCTATATTTTTTACTCTGTTCCAAGTTCTTTTGGTCGCATAGTTCATAGGTGAACTGGGGATAGGGGTCCTCCAGTCTGCAGGCTAAATGTGGTTGGGAAAGTTCTTCAGGTTGACACAAGCTGTTTCTGCCATTATCACCCAATGGAGATTAGAGTTAACACTTTGAAAGCTGTTGCATGGAGCTGGGGTCTGCTTTGTAGCTCAGGAAATTGTTGCTTTAGGATATTTATTAGTTAACATGCACTGTATTGAATTTTGATTTGCTGGTGCAGTGGGATGCACTCCTGAGTAGACATGTGTAAAATTGACCTATGCTTTATATACTTGGTGTGAAAATGTACACATTGGAAAGAATTATATAGACTCCTTCATACTTTTCTTTGGCATGATTCTACATGCTTCTCCTCAAACCTTTAGACTCATTTACTCCTGGACCACAACTGCCAAAACTGTTCGCAAATTTGAATTTGGTTCCTGGTCTGAAAGAGGTTAGTCACTCCTCTAGTAAACCATGATTTAGAGTTATGGACACAAGCATATACAAGCCTAAATAAAATCTTGGACTCAAATGCTCCCTACCTCTCTTTTGTTAGAGAAGGGAAGAGGAGTAACCTATGATATATTTTTGCAGTCTCCAATTCTTGGCAGAGAAACAGTGATTAAATAACACATGGTTCTACTTCAAACCATGGGTTATGCATCTGGTTTGTTAAACAAACAAACAAACAAACAAACAAACCAGTTTTTGTTTTCAGCCAGGATTCTTGATTTAGTGCTATGTGCAAACCAACCCATTACTCAAATGTACAGCCAACCTGTATTCCCTTACTTCAGTTTACTACAGAGAGGTACACGATAAATCAAGGCAAAAACCTCAGGTTAAAATGTGGAGTGATTTTGGTGATTCTATTTTAGTTTATACCAGTATTTGGTAATGACTGAAAATTGGTTGTGGTATTATGCAAACGGCATAGCTTTTGGAGGTGATTTGCCTTATTTTGCAAAATCTCCATAGACATTATCTGCTTGATACTGAATTGTGCTACTAGACTTGCAACGGGTAATATCTGTGGAGTTTTTTTTTAATTTTGAGTCAATCCACCTCCAAAAGTTATGCCTTTCATATAACAACACACCTGTATTTCAGCCAATTCTTGATGAGTACTTGTGCATGTGCATGCCTGTGTGTGAACATGCACATGCACACATACACAGAGAGCAACTAATAAAAATATGTGTTTGGAAGTGATATTAGAAAAGAAGGAAGTTACTGAGAATTTGCAGGACTGCAACTATAATAGGCAGAATTTAATTAAATTTAATCTGTGTAATTTTGCTGAACGAGATCCAAAAATATCCACTAGATGGAGTCAGTGCAATGTAAAGTTTGGTTGTCATTTCCCCCAATTTTTTTCTTTTGCTGCTAAATGTTTTATTCTCCAGTTTCAGAAACATTTGTTAATTCATCTGATGAAACTTTATCAGAGACATATTTCTTATAGCATTTTAAAATTCGTCTGATGCTGCAAAATGTACTTCCAGTTTACTGGCATGAATTTGCAAAATTCGCTGTAAGGTAACTATGGAAGGAGAAAAGTCAAACTATTTTTGTTTCTGTTTATAATGACTGTGTGCTTAGCTGCCTTATACTTTGTAGTATGAGGCCATCAGTATTTCATGAGTATAAAAAAAAACTAACTTGGATACTATGGAAATATGTATAATCCAAAATTATTGGTATAGGTCAATAGTGGACTGCTGGGACTTGTTCTATGCTTCCTTACAACTGTCAGCCTTACAGAGAGAGGAGGCAAGGGTAGAGTAAGAAGGAGCTGCAGCTTTCCAAGCTTTCCAGCATAGGGCAGGAAGGAAGAAGACGGGAGGAGGGAGGTGTAAGAAGCAGTGAAAAAAGGAAAAAGGGAGGAGGAAAACGGAAAAAGAGAACTGTAGTGTCAGAGAAAGCATGTACAGAAGTATACATGCTAGAGATACACATATATGCACACCACAGCCAGGCAGAAGTATATAGGGTAAAAAAAGAGAGATATCTGTCTCAGAAAAGTTGAGACAACTTGCCATTTTCCTTGTGAGAGCCTGGAGGATTCAGTTACAGGAGCCCTATTCAGATATTTCTTATCCAGTTGAATTCAAGATATGATGATGAGAACACCTAGCCCAAATAAGAGATATACTGACTTATTAGTGAGAGAGCAAGAAAGCTGAAATATCAAAGTTCTCCTTCACATGGACATTCACCACACAAGCAGAAACCTCTCTACTTCAGACTAGGGATGAGAATCTAGCAGCCTCTAAATACTGGAGAGAAACCAAGAGAAAAGGAGGATACTTGTCACCTTGCAACTAGGTTTCTCTGTGTGATTTTTTTTCCCAGGGGAAATTTCACAGGATTTCTTGTGAGTTTTGGAGTAATTTTTTCTGGAAGAAATGCCAAGCTGTGCAAGATTGTTACGGTTCTTATGCAGGATCATATCTTTGCTCGATAGGATTCATTTAGAAATGATGGAAGAAACATTAAATTATGCAGAATTATTACAACTCCTGCGCAGAATGGTATCTTTTCTGCACTGGATTTACCAAAAAGAGTATTAAATTGCACAGCAATTAGGAGTTTCTTACATAAAACAAAGGGTAGAGGGAAAAATTCAAGGGAAAGTGATACTGGGATCATGCTGTTTTGGGAAACTACGAAATTTCATAGATGCAGAAGAAAGTCTTGGTTGAGAAGCTTGGTGTAAGAGGACTTGGAAAATTGTCAAGAACAAGAAATTTTGTGGAGAATTTCCTATTTATCATGTTGCCCTTTCATCCCTCCCCAGAAAGATCAGGACTAGAGATGGGGACGGATATAAAAATGCATCGGTTTTTCTGACAAATATAGCCAATTCGTTAAATATTCATCAATCCATATTTGTGGGTTTTAGAGTCCCCCACAAATACAGTGGTGCCTCGCTTAGCAGGAAAAAATGTCG